TGATGCTTTTGCCTCCAGTCGCAATGGAAGAAAAAAGTAAGAAATGTAGATAGATATTCCATGTTCGAGCCCTGTAGATGGCTCCTCTCAGATTGTGTTGGGTCTGGAAAACCCTCTGGGAATTCTGGGGAAGGGTGGAGTGTGGCTTCAATCTGCCAAACAGTCTTGGCCTGAGGGTTCAATTCCCAGCAACCACATAGTGGCTCACAGCCATCTATAACGAGATCTGGTGCCATCTTCTGACATGCAGACAGAAAACTGTATACATAATTTAAAAATGTGAAAAGAACTAACTATTGATGATCAAATTGAGATATAAAAGTGCAAGAAGATTCTGTTTGTGGTTCGTTGAATAAATGGATGCAGAGCCTGCTCATACTGCATGAATGTAGTGCTCTATCTATATAGATACACATCTATTTGGCTCTAGACACACACATATGTGTATATATATATATGCAAATATGTATATATGTAAAGCTAGTTTAAAAACACGAGACTAAAAGAAGTGTCTTAGTCAGGGTTTCTATTGCTCTGAGGAGACACCAGGACCACAGAAACTCTTTTTTTGTTGTTGTTTTTTGAGACAGGGTTTCTCTGTGGCTTTGGAGGCTGTCCTGGAACTCACTCTGGTAGACCAGGCTGGTCTTGAACTCACAGAGATCTGCCTGCCTCCGCCTCCCGAGTGCTGGGATTAAAGGCGTGCACCACCAACGCCCGGCCCACAGCTACTCTTATACAGGAAGACATTTAGTTGGGGCTGGCTTACGTGTGAAGGTTTAGTCCGTTGTTATCGTGGCAGGAAGCATGGCAGACATGGCGCTGGAGCTGAGAGTTCTTCATCTGGGTCCAGCAGGCAGCATTTGAAATCCCAAAGCCCACCTCCAGTGACACACCTCTTCCAACAGCCGAGCCTCGCTAACAGTGTAGTTCCTGATAACCAGCTATTCAAATATAAACCCATAGAAGCCATTCTTTTTTTTGTTTTGTTTTGTTTTGTTTTTCAAGGTAGGGTTTCTCTGTGGCTTTTGGAGGCTGTTCTGCAACTAGCTCTTGTAGACCAGGCTGGTCTCGAACTCACAGAGATCCACCTGCCTCTGCCTCCTGAGTGCTGGGATTAAAGGCGTGTGCCACCAACGCCCAGCTATAGAGGCCATTCTTATTCCAGTTACCACAGGAGGATCCTGGATACTTTTGGCAATCAGTATTACCACCATTTTTGACCTTTCTGAAATTATATGAAGCAAACTGCAGAGAAGCCCCTCACTTTATAACAATGGGTGTGTGTGTAACCATTCCATGAAGCAACAAAGAAGTTCAGGGGGAGACTGAGGAAGCTTGCAGGGTATTAACGCTACTCTCTTCTTTGCCTCTGCTTTCCGTCCTGATTCACTGGCTCCTGGTTCTGGCTCCTCTTCCAGTCAAAAGTAAGTCACAATCTGTATACATAAGCATGGGTTAGGGTGGGGATTCAGCTCAGGGAGACGGGAGAGAGGGACAAACAACTCACCATCAGGTTCTGCGGGAGCAGTCTTAGAACGCAACTCACCATCAGGTTCTGCGGGAGCAGTCTTAGAACGCAACTCACCATCACGTTCTGCGGGAGCAGTCTTAGAACGCCCAACTTGAACATGGCCACTCAACCTAGATCTGAAGGTCATGGGGTGGGGATGGGATCTCTTAGATCTTGTGGGAATGGTGCTTGCAAGAGAGGAAGAAAGAGTCATTGGTTTCCATGACTAGTTTTATATTAACATCAGTAGGATCGGTGAGCCCACCTGGTTAGGAGCCCACTCTTATCTGCACAGCCAGGCTCGACTGGGTGGGTATTCGCTGGTGACTTTCAGAGCAGACAGGCTCTCTTCTCTTTGGAGAAGGAACCATCTCAGACTCCAGCCAGAGCAGAAGGTGACGGTCGTCATGGAGACCATCTTCTGCTAATCTCCTGGAAGTCAAATGGAACAGGGAGGCCGGGCGTTGGTGGCACACGCCTTTAGTCCCAGCACTTGGGAGGCAGAGGCAGGCGGATCTCTGTGAGTTCGAGACCAGCCTGGACTACCAAGGGAGTTCCAGGACAGCCTCCAAAGCCACAGAGAAACCCTGTCTCGAAAAACCAAAAAAAAAAAAAAAAAAAAAAAAAAGGAACAGGGAGGGTTTAGATTCCTCACATAGCTGTTGCCTTGGCATCCTCACTTCTGGGGAAAAAAAGTGTCTTCAAAGAGAAGCAGGAACCATAGATTACATCAAAGCACCCCATTCTGGTTCCTTACCCTATTGGGGGGATCTTGGGAGTGCGCCGAGGGACCATGCACACTGCTGACGTAACTGATTCCATATTCCTTTTCAACTTTGATTGGATAAACGTTCTCACTGGTCCTGGCACATCCCCTCCTCCCCGCTGTTCTCGGGCTCACAGTGCTGAAAGGTAAGAGTCTCCATCTATTTCCTTCCCCATCCGTTCTGGTCGCCTTTGCCCCACAGAAATAACGTCAGCTGATGGTCAACCAGCCCTTCCTGTCCTGTGTCCACAGCCCAGCTTCTCATCTAGGGACTAGAGTGAACTCGAGTCCCAAGAATACCTCCTTTGACAGAATCCAAGCACCACTCTTTCCCCTCCAAAAAAAATTCAATATTTTTTCTTGATCCGTATGTACCTGGCTTGTATATTGATGAGATGCAAACTCAGCCAAGAAATTAAACAGCAAAGTAAGAATTTTCATCCGCAGTAGGCAAGGAGAGACTAGTGGTTTCCAGAGCACAGCTCTCCTCCAACAAAGGAGTCCACTCGGAGTCAAATAGGAAAGTACGTATGGGAAGGTGGATTCCCCAGCGTGCTTAGTTGAAGGTCCTATCTAAAAAGGGGCCGTGGAAAACACATCGTGGGGCACGTTTAGCTCAAGGTCATGTTAGAAAAGTCAAAGGTGGCAGCCAGGGACACATCTGAGCATGTCCAGTTTGAATCACAAGCATGGTGGAGAGAAATACTTCTGAGCACGCTCAGCTGGGGTTGTAAGATGATTGACAGGAACATCTCCGAGCATGCTCTGTCTGCATCATAAAGACAGTGGACTGGAATCTTTCCGGTATGTTCATCTTTAATCATGAATTTTTCTTTGTTCTTGTTGTGTTTTTGAGACAGTGTTTCCCTATGTAGCCCTGGATGGCCTGGAGCTCACTATGTAAACCAAGCTGGTCTTGAACTCTCAGAGATCCACCTGTCTCTAGCTCCCAAGCACTGATAGTCAAGGTGTGCACCACCATGTCTGACTACAAGGGAAACTGAAAGGACAGTTTGAAGGCGTTTGTCCCTAAAAAAGTCTTCCTTTCAGATCCAAGTTCAGACTGGGACAGAAACAAAAGCCATTTGACAGAGGACAAACTTTGCTCATTTTGGTTTTTTCTTTCTTTTTTTAAAAATAATTATTATTTTTTAAAATTTTATGTGCATTGGTGTTTTGCTTGCATGTATGTGTGTGAAGGTGTCAGATTTTGGAGTTACAGACAGCTGTAAACTGCCGTGTGGGTGCTGGGAATTGAACCCGGGTCTGTAGTACTCTTAACCACTGAGCCATCTCTCCAGCCCCCATTTTGGTTGTTTTCAAGACAGAGTTTCTCTGTGTAGCTTTGGAGCCTTTCCTGAAACTCACTCTGTAGACCAGCCCGGCCTGAAATTCACTGAGATCCACCTGCCTCTGCCTTCCGAGTGCTGGGATTAAAGGCATGCGCCACCAACGCCCAGCTCAGAGGGCAAACTTTAGATCTACCTAAGATCGAATTTGGCCAGACACAGTCAGACGGAAAAAGTCACACAGGCTGGAATGATGGCTCAGTGGTTAATGCACTTGCTGAAAGCATTAGGACATTAGTTCAGATCCCGAGAGCCCATAATAAAGGCAACAGGCATTGCATCCCAGCTGTAATTCCAGCAGCAGAAGGCGGACGTTAGGGACCCCCCAGGGCAAGCTGAGGTGAGCCTGATACCTCTTTCTAGAGTCATCAAAAGGCAGCCTTTCTCCTCCTCCCAGTGTGGCTGCAGGCAAGCCATTAGCCTGCCGTTCCCAGCTTACTAAGAAGTCCTCCCCGCGTCTGCTGCAAAGGGGCTCCCGGGAATCTCGTGGAACCGGAGTCTCTGGCCCTGCCTCCTGCCCCATTGTAGATCCCACTTCCCAGCATGTTCCCAGCCCCCGGCATCTGACCTCGTTTTTTGCTTTCTAATTCCGGCTTTGTCTCTTTGACCCATCCGACGACGTTCTGCGACCCATCTGTGATCTTGGCCACTGTGTCACCTCTCCTGGTCCTGCTCCCGTCAGGAATTGTGGGTAAGCATGGGCGTCACACCGGCAGTGTCACAGACCAGAAAGTTCAGTGGATAACTTTGAGCAAGAATTTGTGGGCTGGAAGACGCCTTTAACCCCAGCTCTGTGAGTTCGAGGCCAGCCTGGTCTAAATAGAAGAGTTCTAGGACAGCCAGGGCTACGTAGACCCTGTCTCAAAAGATTAAAATTGTGGACCACACTCATGCTTGTCTTTTGACCTCCACGTATGCACTATGGCACAGGTACACACACACACACACACACACACGTGCATGTGCACACACTGGCGCACACATGCATATGTTTAAAGGTGGAAGCCCTTAATGCTTCATGACCTGACCTCATCCTAGAGACACTCGTAGTAAAAGGAGAGGACCAACTCCAGCAAGTTATCCTTTGTCTTTCACACGTGCAGTGTAGTACGAGCAACTCCTTATTTTAAAAATAAAGGCCAGGGCAGGGGCTAGAGAGATGGTTCAGTGGTTAGGAGCACCTACTGCTCTTCCAGAGGATTCGAGTTCACTTCCCAACAATCATGTCCTGCAGCCCACAACTGCCTGTAACTCCAGTTCCAAGAGCTCTGTCGCCCTCTTCTGGTCTTGCCGGGCACTGCATGCCCGCGCACGCACGCACGCACGCACGCACGCACGCACGCACGCACGCACGCCAAAGGTTGATCTTTGGCCTCAATATGAATATGCCCACGCATGCACGTAGAAACCTGATAAGATTTTAGCATGTGTCATGCCCAAATGATGGAAACGCAAAGATGGAACTAATTCAGAATCAAGTGGGGTCACAGTCATGTACTACATGACGATCATATGTTGGGTCAGTGGTGAATTGCATACACTCCAACAGACCCTACAAACACATGTGTTGCCATCCTCGGTGGCCTTGACCCCGACACGTAAGGCACCAGAGCCACACTTCCCCCCAGAAAGTTGGCTGACTCCGTTTGACTGGGAAAATCCACTCATTGTGGATTTTTTTTTCTGTTGCAATTGTTCTGTGTGTGTGTTGACATTTATTTTTTTGTCTCCTTCCTCAGGGCTGATGAGCAGACTGTCCCCGGATGGTAAGTGTGTATCTATGTCCTCAGCCCACAGCCTTTCTCTTTCTTGTCGAGGGGTGACCCACGCAGACCTAGCGAGGCCACAGAATGCCTCGTGGGCTACCCAGTTGAGTGCTTCGTTTATTCGACTTGGAATTTAAACAGAAGAGATGCTGATACTGAAGGGGACCGCAGGGCCGAGGGATGCACGTGGGGGTGGCTGATGACGCCTGACGGGAGTTGATCCCATCTTTCCACCGTGTGGGTCCTAGGAATAGAGCCAGACCTTCAGACTTGTCAGCAAGCACCCTTCCATTGGCTGGCCCATCTTGCTGTCCCAAAATGTTGATGTGTGTGTGCATGTGTGTGTGTACACACCTGTGCATGCGTGCACAGGCCAGGGGAGGATACTGGGTACCCTGCTCTATTTCTTCCAGTCTGATTTCCGGGAGTACTTATTGTGGGATGGGCACCCAAAGATCATTTGTTTGCCAGGGAAAAATACTCATCTACTACCCAAGGCCCCATGGATTGCCCAGGCCTCCTCACTGACGCCTACATTCAGGGGGTCTGGATTGGTCCCATGCTGGCCTCTCAGTTATGAGCAGATTGGGAGCATGGGGGGAGGTTCTTGGAAACCATGGAGATTGCTCAATGGGCTAGCCACTGTTGGGGGACAGCCTGGGTTACATAGTGAGTCCCAGACTGTATCTTTTACTTTTCTCACAGCAGCGGGAGAATACCCCGGGCTTAGGAAAGGGAGGGCTTGGCCAGCTTGCAACCTGAGCGGGTAGCATGGTGGGGAAACCGTGGCGTCAGGAAACCAAGGCAGCTGGCTGTCTTGCATCCACAGTCAGGGAGCGGAGGGTGATGTCTGCAGGCGCGCGCGTGCGTCAAATACTCCTCTTCATTCCGCCCATGGGATGATGGTGCCAGGATTTAGAGTGGGGTCCCTCCAGCATCACTTAATTTTTGTCTACAAAACCCCTTAAGGACATCCCAGAAAGCTTGTGGGATGATCATAAATCAAACTGGCATTTGAAATCCTGACTCAAAAGACCAAGGAAAAAATTACTAAGCAATGAGCTAATGGGTTTGCAGATCTTCCTCAGGCTTTTTTTTTTCTAATGGGGGGGGGGAATGCCATGCCATGCTGTTAGTGTGTGTGTGTTCTCCAGGGCATCTCCAGTTTTAACAGTGACACCTCTCATTCTGGAATCCTTTGTACGACGGTTGTTTGTTCTACTTCTATTCCCCCCCCCCCCGGGCCCCCCGCCCCCGCTTTTGAGACAAGGTCTCCTGTGCAGCCCAAGCTGGTCTTGAACCCCCAGTCTACCTGCCTCCGCTCCTGAGTGATGAGATCACAGGTGTGCACCACCTGGATATGATGCAACTGTGTATACGTGCAGTCTATGCAGGCGTGCGTGCTAGTGCGTGTGTGGGCGTGTGTCTGCACACATGTTCCTGTGGAGGTCAGAGGTCAATGCTGACTGTCTTCTTCAATCACTCTCCATGTTAGTTTTTCTTGAGTCAGACTCTCTACACTCTTTTTATTAACCCTGTGTTTTGGTTTTGTTTTGTTTTGTTTTGAGACAGGGTTTCTCTGTGTAACAACCCTAGCTGTCCTAGAATTAGCTCTGCTGACCAGGCTGGCCCTAAACTCACAAAAATCACAGAGATCTGCCTTCCTTTGTCTCCCAAGCACTGGGATGAAAGGTGTGCGCCACCACATGTACCTGGCTAAAGTGTATTTATTTTTATCTTATGAGTGCAGGTGTTTTGCCTGTGTGCATGTCTGGGAGTCCTGCACATGCAGTGCCCAGAGGGGCCAGAAAAGGGCATCAGACCCCCCCTGGAGCCAGGCGTTCATACAGGGCGTTGTGAGCCACCCCGTGGCTGTCTTTTCAAAAGCAGCCAGTGTTCTTAACTGCTGAGCCGCCTTTTTGAGCTTTCCTGGTTTTGTTTTTATGATGAGGAAACGGAGGAAAGGGGTCACACGACTGGGAGGTGAATGAACCAAGATTTGAACACAAGTCCTGTTTGTTCAGCAACACCTCCGTGGCTCTTAGACTGGAGTCTAGGATGCTAAGATGACTCACGTGTCTTAGCATCATCCAGCCACAGTCTTGTCTCTGGGCCCTTTGAGGCCTGAGTTCTTTTCAGGTAGGGCCATGCCCGTACTCTTCCCCGTGTCTGGGAAAATTGTCTTTCCTTTCCCTTCCAAGTTTCTTTCTCTTTTTTCCCCCCACTCAGCTAACCCCTGCTCATCTTTCAGGTGTCAGACAAAACATCATATCCTCCTCCAAGAAGCCTCCCCTGGTACCCACTCCAGGTCAGCAACCACCACCCCTTTATAAGTTCCCGCCATGCCCTGCGGGTCGACCAGGAAACGACTCGAATCTCTGTCCCACTTCCCAAGGGTTTTGGTCCCCTTCCTCTGCAAGTTTTTAGAAACCATGGATATTGTTCCTTGGGGTAGACGCTGTCTCACCCAAACTTTGCTTATGCCCAGGATGCAGTAGGCACTCTGTATGTTTATTAAGAGAAAGAGTGGTTACAGACTTGAGTTTCTTTCTTACCCTGTAAATCGAGAGAGCTGAGTCGCCTGCTTTCTAATGGTGGTCTCATCTCCGGTCTCTGACTGGTTGGGGATGCTTATTTGGTGGCAAAACTATTAACCTCTCTCTTTCTCTCTCTCTCTCTCTCTCTCTCTCTCTCTCTCTCTCTCTCTCTCTCTCTCTCTCCCTCCCTCCCTCCCCCACCCCCATCTCTCCCTTGCTCCTCCACCGTCACGTACACACATACACACACACACACACACACACACACACACGTCTCTCTGCACCCCTGTTGAACATGGCTGCGTTTATCCTTCATAACAGACAGGACAGAAGAAGAAAGTAAGTACTTTGGAAGTTTATGACACTCAACTCCCCTCCCCAATGACTGAGCTCAGAACCTGGGAAGATGTCTTCTGCTGAACCACACCCCCCAGGCCCTCACTGGGGGATTCTAGACAAGTGATGTACTGATGTACCCCAGAAGCACTTCTTCTATTTTCAAACAAGTTCTCACTAAGCTGCCCAAGATAGTCATGACTTCAACTCTGTCTCAAAAGTAAAAAGAGGGAATAGCTCAGTGGTAGAACACCTGCCTAGAATCTCACAATGAGGGGCTGGGAGCATGGCTCAGTGGTAGAGCCCCTGCCTAGAATCCCCCAGTGAGGGGCTGGGGGTGTGGCCCAGCATTAGAGCCCCTGCCTAGAATTCCCCAGTGAGGGGCTGGGGGTGTGGCTCAGTGGTAGAGCCCCTGCCTAGAATCCCCTAGTGAGGGGCTGGGGGTGTGGCTCAGTGGTAGAGCCCCTGCCTAGAATCCCCCAGTGAGGGGCTGGGGGTGTGGCCCAGCATTAGAGCCCCTGCCTAGAATTCCCCAGTGAGGGGCTGGGCTGTGACTCAGTGGTAGAGCCCCTGCCTAGAATCCCCCAGTGAGGGGCTGGGCTGTGACTCAGCAGTAGAGTGCTCTGCCAGCATGTCCAAGACCCTATATTGAAGGCCCAGAGCCACAACAAAAAGGTTTGCTAGAGCAAGTAATTCACAAGTTAGGCAGAGAAAAACCAGAAGTAGTTTGGGGAACTGTGTCCAGACAGGACAGTGGGGCTGGAGGATGGGGACTGGAAGGATGATAATGCACATAGGATGATGACAGGCACAGCGATTCCATCGATTTATGTGGCCCAGTCCATTGCAAAGCCCCTGATTGCACAATGTGTAAGTATTTCAGATGTTTCTGATTGGCTGAGCCAAATTCTCTGGTCTAGGGCGGCTTGAGTATCCCTTAACTGAAATGCCCGAGACTAGAAGTGTTTCGAACGTCAAGCATTTTCAGAACTGTGAACATTGACGTAGACTCCGCCCATTCAGCATCTCTCACCCTAGATACCCCCAAATCTGATCTGGACAGCACCCAACCCAAAACAGGAGGTAGTGGCTCACACTTGTAATTCCAGCAGCTGGGAGGCTGAGGCAGGGGGATTGACTGATTCCAACCTGTGTCGTGAGTTGGTAGGTAGACCAAAGGATAGCCTTGGTCTACGGAGTGAGCAGACCCCATCTCGAAAATTACAAACAAATTAAGGCTGGAGAGATGACTCAGTGGTTAACACCACTTTCTGCTCTCCTGGAAGACTCAAGTTAGGGTCCTGGTACCCATTTAAGATAGGCTTACAATTGCCTGGGACTCCAGCTGGCTTCCGAGGACATGCATACGACATCTGCTTACACAGACATATACACACACATAAAAGTAAAATAAGCCTTTAAAATAGTAAAAAATGAGCCGGGCAGTGGTGGCGCACGCCTTTCATCCCAGCACTCAGGAGGCAGAGGCAGGCGGATCTCTGTGAGTTCAAGACCAGCCTGGTCTACAAGAGCGAGTTCCAGGACAGCCTCCAAAACAATACAGAGAAACCCTGTCTCAAAACAAACAAACATAGTAAAAATGTCACAGGGGCGTTTTGGAATAGGTATGTTCAGCCCGTTCAGACGTTAACGGGAAATAGCTCAAGTTAGACATGGGGCTGCCCACATGAGGTAAGGCTGGGGACACAGGAGAATGGTGCCTTTGTCTGCTCGGGGAGCCTGCAGACCTGGTCTCCTCCCCAGGTTCGTTCAACAGAGCAGGAGAACAACCGTTAAACACTTTTAAAAAATATTTCACGTGGCAGACAACAGCAAGGTGCCAGGGACGGGAGGTACTAACATCCATTCTACTCTCTTCCCTGCCCTTTTCCGCGATGATGCCTTGATTCCGATTCCAACCCGCTGTCCAGTGAAAAGTAAGTTACCTTTCCTTTCTATGGCTGATGACCTTTGGTGTATGGTGGAAGGGTCTCGAGTAGCCCAGGCTAGCCTCGAACTCCACATACAACCAAGGATGGCCTCACACTCCTGATCCTGCCTCAGCCTCCTGAGCGCTGGGATTACAGGTGTACACACCACCATGCCTAGCACAGGGAAATCTTTTTTTTTTTTTATTGTTTTACCCTTCGGGTGCGTGACTTGGGTGTTTCCAGACACTTGGAAGGAGCAGGGACAAGAAAGGATGGAACCAGGCATGGTGGCATGCACCTGTGATCCCAGCCCTCTGGAGACTGAGGCAGGACGGTTAGCAGCTCAAGGCTAGCCTCAGTTACATATTGGGTTTGAGGTTAGCCTGAGCTACATGAGGTTCCATCTCAAAAAAGAAAAAGGAAGGAAGATGGGGAGAGGAGAGGAAAGAGAGGGGATGGGAAGGAAGAGGAAAGAGAAGAGAAAGCTATTTTTGTTGTTTTGGGTTTTTGTTTTTGTTTTTAAAGGCAGGGTCTCTGTGTAGCCCTGGCTGTCCTGGAACTCGCTCTATAGACCAGGCGGGTCTTGAACTCAGAGATCCTCCTGCTGGGATTAAAGGCGCATGCCCACCCTTTGAGAAAGCTGGTTTTAGAGGAACTTGCCCTGCTTGTGGAGAATCCAGGTGGCCCACAGGCTCCACCCACTTCCTGGGGCTGCATGGTGGGGGCCCCGGAATCTGAGCGGATTCCCCAATCTCCCCATTGGCCTAGCGCCCAAGACAGCAAGAGTTATGTGCGCCTATGGGTAGAAAAGAAAACAAAGCTCAGCGAATAACCAGGAACCAAGCTTTCCTCCCTCACTTCGGGAGAGAAGAATGGGGCGCTTTTCTGATGCCCTCCAGGTATCTGGAGGATGAATCCCCGGGGGAGACTGGGGCCAGGGGATTCCAGCCAAAAGGATGAATGCGTCTTAAAATATCCGGGCACAGACGATTCAGCAGGGCTGTATACAGCCTCACTGGTGCCGTTTGGACTGGATGATATGTCCTTGTTCCCTGCGGGGGAAGGGGGGTCTCTACTGAGGATGCTCCGGGCGGGATGGGAGAAGGCCAGACATCATTAACAACCTTTCTCTCTCCTCTCGGATCGTCACTTCCGCTGGTCCCCAACAACTCCAACTGGATTTCCCTCTCCTTCATGCTGCCCGTTTCAACAGTATTGAAACGTAAGTTCATCGTTCATTTGTTCGCTCGTTCCTTCCTTCCTTCCTTCCTTCCTTCCTTCCTTCCTTCCTTCCTTCCTTCCTTCCTTCCTTCCTTCCTCCCTCCCTCCCTCCCTCCCTCCCTCCCTCCTCCCTCCCTCCCTCCCTCCCTCCCTCCCTCTCTCCCTCCTTCCCTCTCCCCCCACCTCTCTCTCTCTCTCATTCTTTTTGGTTTTTCAAGACGTGGTTTCTCTGTGTAGCTTTGTAAACCAGGCTGCCCTGGAACTCACAGAGATCCGCCTGCCTCTGCCTCCCGAGTGCTGGGATTAAAGGCGTGCGCCACCGACGCCCGGCTACAGTTTTCTGTTTTTCATCTGCTTCCCCTTTTTTTTTTGGTTTTTCGAGACAGGGTTTCTCTGTGGCTTTGGAGGCTGTCCTGGAACTCGCTCTGTAGACCAGGCTGGCCTCGAACTCACAGAGATCCGCCTGCCTCTGCCTCCCGAGTGTTGGGATTAAAGGCGTGCGCCACCAACGCCCGGCCTGCTTCCCCTTTTTATTCCTGGCAGGGGCTGACGGTGGGGGGGCGGGGTAGAGTGGGTTCTCATTACTCCCGTCTTCAAAAAGGCAGGCTTGGGAACAGCAAGATGACTCAGACCGTAAAGGAGCTTGCAACTAGGACTGAGTTTGATCCCTAGTATCCACATGACGGAAGGAGAGAATTGAGTCCACACACACACCAGTAAATAAGTAAATACAATGTAAGTGAAAAAAATCGTAAGAGAGGCTTGAAGAGATGTCTCAGTGGTTAAGAGCACTTGCTGCTCTTTCAGAGGGCTGGGTTCAGACCCCGCCCACATCTGGTGACTCATATCTGCTTCTAACTCCAGCTCCAAGGGATCTGATGCCCTCTTCTGTGCATGCACACGCACGCACACACTAATAACAATAACAACATTATGATAGTAAATATTAAAACAGGATTCTGGGGAAATGACTCAGTGGTTCCCAGAACCCATGAGTGACTCTCACCTGTAACTCCAGATTCCTGAGGTCCAATGCCCTTTTCTGGCCTCTGTAGTCACTCGCATTTCTGTGACAAACACACACACACAGATACACACAAACACATAAATAAAAATAAAAACAAATACTTTTTTAAAAAAATTGGAAGCTGGAGAGGTGACTCAGAGGTTAAGAGCGCCGGCTGCTCTTCCAGAGGACCGGGGTTCAATTCCCAGCAACCACACGGCATCTCACAACCGTCTGTAACTCCAGTTCTAGGGGATCCAACACCTTTCTTTAACCTCTAAGGGCAACAAGGATCCATGTGGTGCCCAGACACAAGCAGGCAAAGCTTCCGAACTTATGAAATGAAATAAAATAGATAAAAGTGGGAAGATAACAATCACTTAAAATGCCCCTCCATTCTGTCCTCCATTGTCGTTTGGTTTGTTTGTTTGCTTTTTTGTTTTGGTTTTTTGGTTTTTTGTTTTTTTGAGACAGGGTTTCTCTGTGTAGCCTTGGCTGCCTTGAAACTAACTCTGTAGACTAGGCTGGCCTCGAACTCACAGAGATCCGCCTGCCTCTGCCTCCCGAGTGCTGGGACTAAAGGCATGCGCCACCAATGCCCGGCTTTCTGTCCTCCATCACCATCGGATTCTCTTTGAAGCTCCGGGTCTCTTGACAAACCCTTCTCAGTTCAGCTCTTCTCTAAGGCCCACTGTCCTGAGCTCTGAGCGCTGGGCTCTGTTCTGGTCCCCTACCTCCCGCCGTGGAATGCTGTGATTTATTTCTCCCTCTTGTGGTCTCTTCTCTCGTGGTCCCTGGACTCATCACTACCTCCTGGCTCCTGGATGGACCACAGAGATCCTTGGTGAGCATCTCGAGCTGTGTGGGCCTGGGTCCTGATGCACACTCTGTGTGTCAGAGTATCGGGGGAGGCGGGGACCTGAAATGTGATGCCATTGGGTGCAGGCGTCCCTGGAAACCCAGGACCTGCCACGCAGGCAGCAGAACCCACGCCAGGCGCGGTGGTGCACACCTGTAATCCTAGGAAGATACAGACACGTGGATCTCTGGGGCTCACTGGCTAGCCAGCACAGCATATTTGGGGAGCTCAAGGCCAATGACAGACTCTGCTTCTAAAACTAAAATGGACAGCCCCTGGGGGAAAAAATCACAACTGGGGTTGACCTCTGGTCTCCATGCATGCAGCATGCAGGCATGCATGCCTACGCACATGGTGCTCACACACACAGACACACACACACACACACAGAGAGAGAGAGAGAGAGAGAGAGAGAGAGAGAGAGAGAGAGAGAGAGAGAGAGAGAGAGAGGATGTTTCCTAGCTTTTTCTCTGGTAAAGACAGACACTTGGTGCTAACGCTGAAGGCCAGAATTCTGCAGGGCTTGTTAAGACACAGGGGTTGGGGGTGAGCCTGTGGGCCCTATGACCCGAGCTCTGTCAGGCCGCCTTTGTGATTCTGTCTCTATTGTCCTAGGTCTGCTGAGCCTCCAAGTGCTGAGCGGTGAGTTGCGGACACCAACCTTTTTTGTTTTCGAATGTGCAGAGCTCTTGGGGTTGGGAGAGCCTTTAGGTGTCAGCAAGCCCTGCCTTCCTCAACCCCACCATCATTAGCAGACTAACCATGAGGCCTCGGGTACTGAACCAACAGACTACCTCACCTTCCATTCACCGTGCTGAGTCGTCTTGTAGGGACAGGACAGGGAGTATGACGTGTGCAGTACATTCCCAGCTGCGGCTGGAAAACAGTGTGCGGTGGCGCAGGCATGAATGCCAGCCCTTGGGAGGTGGGTGCAGGTGGGTCAGAGGTTCGTCCTGTGCTGCCTATCAAGTTCAAGGTCAGCCAGAACTACGTAAGACCCTGTCCCAAACAAACAACCACACACAGGAGAGCCGGGAGACGGCTCACTGGGAAAGGCCCTGCTGCCTAGGCTGATGTAAGCAGTGGCAGGAGAGAACAGAGTCTCACTGGGTGTGCTGGCATGCACACCTGTACCACATACGTGCACACACACACACACACACACACACACACACACACACACGGACAGACCCTATACAACACACACATCAGACATACCACCACCATACACAGACACACATGCACCATTAACCACACACACCATGCATACTCCCACACACACACACACAGACTCTGCACTACATATACCCTCCCATAAACCACCACCACATACCACGACACCCCCCCACATACACACAGACCCCACCCCCACCACACGCTACACACACCACATCCCCCCCACATACACAGACCCCACACCACACACATACACCAAATAAATGAATGCAATTTTAAAAACAAAGCCAAGCAGACGAGTGCAGCTAGTATTCTGGTGACGGGGGTGGGGGACGACGACGACGACACCAAGATGCTGGCGAAGCCATCTCAGAGTCTGAGCACTGCTGTTCTCCGAAGAGGGGCGTGCAGGGGACGTGAGGGCCGGGTGTGTCGGGGCGCTGGAGGGAGGTGACACCTGTGTCAAGAGTTGAAGGAGTAGGGGGGGCTCCGCCACACATGTGCGCGCATGCGCGTGTATCTGGGGAAGGGGTGTGGCATGTGTGTAGCCGGGTAGCAGTAGCGTGCCTGAGTCAAGTGACACCAAGGAGGCTACGGGCCGTCCTCATTCAGTCCCTAATTTTCCTTTCTCCCCTCTTCCCTTTCCCGGCTTCCATCTTCCTCTCCTTCCCTCCCTCCCTCCCCTACCGTCTCCATCTTTTTCCTTCTCAGAAGAAACGAATGACTGCAAAGAAGAAGGTGGGTGGGGCTATCCCCCAGCCCCCACTTGGGGCAGTTAGCGCCTTCCCTCTGAGTGAGGTGTGATGTGTTCCCCGAGAAAAGTCTCTGGGAAGCATCCACAGTCCTCGGCCACCCTTGCCCCCTCGGCTCCCCCCCATGTGGAGGTGCCTGACACACCGAGGTAAGAAAGAGGCACTCTGGCCGGGTGGCGCACGCCTTCAGTCCCAGCACTCGGGAGGCAGAGGCAGGCGGATGTCTGTGAGTTCGAGGCCAGCCTGGACTACAGAGCGAGTTCCAGGACAGCCTCCAAAACAATACAGAGAAACCCTGTCTCGGAAACAACGATGAGAAAGAGCCACCAAGCAACATGTTGTAGGAGATTGTGAGCGCCCCACAGAGACCCGATGTGAAGAAAATCAGGGCCCACACGATGGCTCCATGGTAGAAGGAGCTTTTGGAGCAGTGTGTGGACTGCATTCATTCAGATCCCACGTAAAGGTGAGGGGAGAAGCCGCCCCGTGACCTCCACACGTGCACACGCCTATGCACACCCACACAACGATAACAGAACACATGTCTTAGTCACTTTCCTATTGCTGCGATGAGACGCCCCGGCCAAGGCGACGTATAGAAGAAAGCATTGACTTGGCTGGTTTTCTTACAGTTTCGGAGGGCGAGTTCATGACTGTTGTGGTTGGGAGAGCAGCGACAGGAGGACCCGCATGACAATGGAGCAATGACTGAGAATTTACATAGATCCACAGGCACAGGGCAGAGAGAGAGAGAGAGAGAGAGAGAGAGAGAGAGAGAGAGAGAGAGGGAGGGAGGGAGGGAGGGAGGGAGGGAGGGAGGGAGGGAGAGAGAGTGAGACAGAGAGACAGAGAGACAGAGACAGAGAGAACTGGGGATGGTGTGGGCTTTTTAAACCTCAAAGTCTACCCACAATGACACATGTCCTCCAAAGAGACCACACTCTCTAACCCTTCCCAAACAATTACAGGAACTGTAGGACCAAGTATGCAAACACATGAGCCTATGGGGCCATTCCCGCTTAAACCACCACACACATCTTAAAAAATAGACTATTAAAAGGGGGGAGCGCTGCACGGTGGTGGCGCACGCCTTTAATCAACCAGCACTCGGGAGGCAGAGGCAGGCAGATCTCTGTGAGTTCAAGACCAGCCTGGTCTACAAGAGCTAGTTCCAGGACAGCCTCCAAAGCCACAGAGAAACCCTGTCTCAAAAAACAAACAAACAAACAAAAGAAAGAAAGAAAGAGAAAAGTGGGGGGCAGGCAAGCTGTCTTAGCAGGTAAGAGTGTTTACTGCCAAACTCACTGACCTGAGTTTGATCCCCAAGATCCATACGCTAGAAAGAGAAATGAGGACCCCTGCAAGGCATCCTCTAGCCTCAACACTTGTCCTTGTGGGGTTGAGCCAGCCTAGCCAAACTGGTGAGCGCCAGGTTCAGTGAGACACCCTGTCTCTAGATACATAGATGATAGATAGACAGACAGACAGACAGACAGACAAACAGACAGACAGATAAGAAAAGATGGAATAAAACATAAAGTGGAACAGGGCTGATGAAGACAGTGACATCATCCGACGGCCTTCACAGGCATGAGTGTGTGTGTGCACACATGTGTATAAAACACATACACACAGAGAACATGCACACAGGGAAAGTGACACAGTTAGTAAGATGGGCTTGGTGGCACATGCCTGCGATCTGGGTACTGGCAAGGTGGAGGCAGGAGGGTCAAGAGGTTGCCCCAGCGACATCTTTCGTGTGCAGCCAGCCCGAGTCCATGGGGCCCTGTTTCAAAAAAATCAATCCAAATCAAATAAACTCAACAAAAAGATGTAACTGGAGTCTCAGCCCCAAATAAGCACACAGAGACATACGTTAATCATTAAGCTGTTGGCCGATGGCTAGGGCTTCTTACTGGCTAGCTCTCTCTTAATTATTAACCCATAACTACTAATCTATGTATTTCTACATGAACTTATCTTACCAGAAAACGCCTACTGCGTCCTACATGGTGTCCCTCTGCATTGTCTCTCTGCCTACGTTTCCCAGAATTCTCCTCGCCTCCTAGTCCCACCTATCTCCCTGCCTCTACAGTGTTTTATTCATCAACCAATAAGAGAAACACATATACAGAAGGACATTACTCCACCAAAAAGAGGGACCTTGGTCAGGTTCCTGCAAAAGGTGGTTTGATGAGTGTGTTTTTTCTCAATGTACGGGTAACTCAGTGATGCCTAGATATGAGGAGAGAGAGAGAGAGAGAGAGAGAGAGAGAGAGAGAGAGAGAGAGAGAGAGAGAGAGAGAGAGAGAGAGAGAGAGATGAAAGAGCAAATAGTTTGCCTGAGAGTTGAGTGATGACCAAGATGGGAGAATATGGCCACAACGTCGAATGTTAAAAAAAAAAATTCAGGGCTGGAGAGATGGCTCAGAGGTTAGAAGCACTGACTGCCCTTCCAGAGGTCCTGAGTTCAATTCCCAGCAACCACATGGTGGCTCACAGCCATCTGTAATGAGATCTGGTGTCCTCTTCTGGTGTCCAGACATAATGGAAGCAAGATGTTGTGTTCACAATAAATAAATATTAAAAAAAAATTCAACCCAGGAGATACACACTCCAAGCTTGGAGTGCCAGAGGGGCAGGGATTTCTGGGTATTATCAATCATTCTCACCATTTTTCTCCAGTGAAGTCTCCCCCAGCCACCACCACTGCCAGGGTATTTGTGAAGAATAGCGGCTGGAGCTTTTTGAGATGTGCCTACATGGTGATAACCTTTCTCTTCGTGTCCTACAATAAAGGAGACTGGGTAAGGAGGCAGAACCTGGGGTGCCTTTCTATGTGTGGAGGGACGAAGGTGAAGACAAAGGGGAGACACAGGCTGGGAAGGGAGAGGAGAAGGGAGCCTACACAGTGCAGCAAACTTTCTTGTCCAACTCTCTTTTGTGGGACGGACAGCTCCCCAATAACCACAGGGAGGCTTAATATTAATTATGAAAGCTCAGCCTTAACTTAGGCTTCTTTTTTTTTAATTCAAACTAGCTCTTATAACTTAAATTACCTTGTCTCTTTTTAATTATTTATTGTTTTTTAATTCATTATTTTATTTTACATACCAACCATAGTTCCCCTCCCTCCTTCCTTTCCTCCCGTCTCCTCCCCCCACCTCCCTCCTACCACCACTCCCATCCACTCCTCCTCTGTCTTCATTCAGATAGGGTAAGGTCCCCCCCCCTTATTTTTTGGTTTTTCGAGACAGGGTTTCTCTGTATTGTTTTGGAGCCTGTCCTGGAACTCGCTCTGTAAACCAGGCTGGCCTCAAACTCACAGAGATCCACCTGCCTCAGCCTCCCGAGTGCTGGGATTAAAGGTGTGTGCCACCACAGCCCGGCTGATTCAGGACCAAGTCTTTTTGCTGTTTTCTGGAGATGCTGATGGATAAGACACCTGCAAGCATCTCTGCCTGCTGAGCCATCTCGATGAAAGAGGGTCTCTAATGTAGGCCAGGATGCTGACATTATCTGCATAAAGCACCACAGATAGTCCAGGGGGTGCTTGGGATCAACCCAGGTCTTCATTCCCGTCTGAGTTGTGAAATGAATCCTCTGGGCACTGAGTGTGGAGAGAATTTAGAGCAGAACCCAGGGGAAGCAGAAAGACCTGTCCATGGTCAAGACAGGGTCTATGGTGGTTCTGCACATGAGGAAACTCCTGCTAAATCTACTAGACCAGGGGCTCTCAACCTTCCTAATGCTGTGACCCTTTAATACAGTTCCTCATGTTGTGATGACCCCCAACCATCTAATTATTCTCACTGCTACTTCATAACTGTAATATTGCTACTGGTATGAATCCTAATATAAGTATTTCTGCTTTCTGATGGTCTCAGAAGAAGACCCCTGTGAAAGGGTCTGGGGTTGCACCACACAGGTTGAGAACCACTGAGCTACACTCTTAATCAGGAATGGACCTCATGGATTAGGTTTGAGGGCTGAGGGAAACGGGGAGACCCAGGAGTTGACTGGGGAGCCCTGGGTCTCACAGAGGTGACTTGGATCGGAACAAGGTCTGGGGACATTTTATTTTATTTTATTTTATGGGCCACCACTGAAGGATGGATTTCAGTGAGACGCTAGGGACAGCTGTCAACCTTCTTGCACCACGTGCACTGAAAAGTGACCCTGGTCAAAAGGTCATCGGTGTCTGTGTTAGACGCACTGGGTGTGGAGGTGGCAGGGCTTGGGAAAAACGGACAGGGCTTGGGGACGTAGGGAGGCCGGCCCATCACCAATACCTAACAGGCGGGAAGGAGGGACAGGTAGGAGGGAGGCGAGTGAGTTGGTTGGTTTTTGTTTCGTTGGTAATTTAATCTCTCTCTGTCTCGTGTTCCCTCCATCACCGTTGTCTCCGCCAGTGTTACTGCCACTATTGTAGCCCGGACATGAATGTGAGGTATGGCATCGCAGGGAAGGGCATTTCCGCTTTTGCCAATGGGTCAAGGGAGGTTAGCTTTAAACTTTTTTTTAAGGTTTATTTATTTATTCCAGACAGTGGCGGTGCACGCCTTTAATCCCAGCACTCGGGAGGCAGAGGCAGGTGGATTTCTGTGAGTTCAAAGCCAGCCTGGTCTACAGAGTGAGTTCCAGGACAGTCAGGGCTGTTACACAGAGAAACCCTGTCTCCAAAACAGAGAGAAACAAAGAAGAGATTTATTTATTTATTCATTTGTTTATTATGTATACAGTGTTCTGCCTGCATGTACACCTGCAGGCCAGAAGAGGGCATCAGATCCCATTACAGATGGTTGTGAGCCACCATGTGGTTTCTAGAAGTTGAACTCTTGACCTCTGGAAGAGCAGCCAGTGCTCTTAACCACTGAGCCATCTCTCCAGCCCCAGCTTTAAACTTTTAAAATTACAGTTTGTTTTGGAAGAGAAAAGCATTGACTCAGGAGCCCCAAGGCCAAGTTCTCAACACAAAGGAGATTTATTTCCCCAGAGGGAGGAAGGGCAGGGATAAGGGATTAAACACAGGAGGAAGAGGGAGGAGGGTAAGGGAACAAGGAATAGGGCAGAGGCATTTGTCCCAAAGGGGGACAAGGGCTGCCTCTAGATAGTGAGGAGACAGACGTGGAAACCGGCAGTTTATAAAGGCGAAAGGTGAAACCCCCAAGGGTCTTAGTTTGGGGCTTTGGTTGCCATGAAGAGAGACACCACGGTCATGGCAACTCTTTCAAAGGCAAAAAGATTTTAATTGGGGGTGGCTTACATTTTCAGAGGTTTAGTTCATCATCCTCACAGTGCATCACGGTGACAGGCAGGCAGAAGCGGTCCTGGGTAAGTAGCCAAACGTAGGACAACAGGAAGTGGTCTGAGAGACTGGGAGTGGCTTGAGCATATATGAGCCCTTAAAGGCCACCTCCACACTGACACACTTCCTCCAATAAGACCACACCCACTCCAACAAGGCCACACCCACTCCAACAAGGCCACACCTCCTAATAGCGCCACTCCCTTTGGCGGCCATTTCCTTTCTGTCTAATTTTAATTGTTCATGTTAACTAAGTGAGCAGAAGGGTGCTGAACTTCAATACTTCGATTGCTGGACCTTGGTAGTCAGCCTGGGGAGGAGGGAGTGGCCAAATGAGGGACTAGAGTTTGGGTGGATAGCGTCAGGGGTGTGATGGCTCTCAGCAAGGCAGAGGGAACACGAGAGAGGGACGATTTATTTATTTGTGTGTTTATTTATTTATTTAGAGACCGGGTCTCTCTGTGTAGCCCTAGCTGTCCTGGAACTCACTCTATAGACCAGGCTGATCTCGAACTCACAGAGATCTACCTGCCTCTGTCTCCCCAGTGCTGGGATTAAAGGTGTGCGCCACGGCCGCCGGCTAAGGAGGTTGGTTTTAAATAGCTAGTGTGGCCCAGGTAGGGTTTGAAAGCTCCAGTCGGAGTCACAGAATTGCACGAGGGTCCCAAGCTCATTCTTCTTCACCACGGGAGAACTGGCATGTGCACGCTCCCTCACCCCCCAACACAGTAAAATACATTTCAATGTCCTTCTAAGAGGGGCTTATGCTTTGCTCTGTTATTGGAGAGGAGCGCTAGGGAGATAGCTCAGAGGTTACTTGCCGAGGACATTAAATCCTCAGCACACACATTGTGGCACTCGGACTACCTGGAACTCCAGCCACGGATGTCCATTTCCGGCCTGCAAGGACACCTTGCAAGCGCATCTGCATTCACACGGACACTGAACCATCTCTCCACGCCCTCCCCACACACATGCATAATTAAAAATGAAACGGGAGCCAGAAAGACGGCTCAGAAGTTAAGAACAGTTGCTGCTAGGTTGGCTCCCAGCAACCCCGTGGTGACTGGCAGCCGTCAGTTGCAGGAGAGCTGACACCCTCTTCTGGCCTCAATGCGCACTGCATGCAGGTGGTGTACTTACGCATGGACAACGACACACATAAAACAAAAGTAAATAAAAAAATAGAAAAATACGGGCAGTGGTGGTGCACACCTTCAATCCCAGCACTTGGGAGGCAGAGGCAGGAGGGATTTCTCAGTTTGGGGCCAGCCTGGTCTATAGAGCTAGTTTCAGGACAGCCAGGAGTACACAGAGAAACACAGTCCCGAAAGAAAAAACAAAAACAAAACAATCCCCCACCCAAAGATAGAGATAGAGAGAGAGAGAGAGAGAGAGAGAGAGAGAGAGAGAGAGAGAGGGAGGGAGGGAGGGAGGGAGGGAGGGAGGGAGAGGGAGGAAGGGAGAGAGGGAGGGAGACAAAGAAAGAAAGAAAGAAAGAAAGAAAGAAAGAAAGAAAGAAAGAAAGAAAGAAAGAAAGAAAGAAAGAAAGAAAGAAAGAAAGAAAGGAAGAAGCCAAGCCTTCAGTAGGAGCCAATCCCCAAGAGGTCTGAGGGACGTGACATCAGCCCTAGGGGGAGGAGGAAGAAAGTGGGTGGGCCCTGCGGAGCATGGCCCTGGTCCAGGATGAGGGCGAGCGAGCGGGGTAGGCTCGGGCGTCTCCCATAGAGTCCTGTGGGGCGGTTAGGGTGCCACGAGGCAAGGCGTGTGGTTACTATATGACGATGTAAATACGTGTGCGATTGTTTCTCCCCCTCTCGTGTCTTCCCCAGAGACGACCCCTGCTGCTCTTTCTAGTGAGCCTGGCCCGTCTCAGTCAACCTACACAAGCCCTCGAGCTCCCAGGCATCTCACCTGCAAGGTGGCCCTGCAACCCGGAGGGGAAGTCTCTCAGGGGACCGAGCAGCGAGAAGAGGCCCCGAGAGAGCGAGCGGAACGAGCCTCTGCTTCCGGACCACTTTCGGCCTTTTCTTTGCTGTTCCTCTAGTGAAACGTGCACTTGTGCAACGCCTAAGGGTTTCTTTCTCGTGTTCACAAAACGCAGCACCCGAGCACAGGGTGGTGGGGTTCTGAGGGTCACCTGTAATTCTTAAATAAAAGGATTCTTTAACCGCTGCAGTCAGTGGGTGTGCATGCCTCGAGGGCATCGGTTTAGCCATCTTTACACACCAAACCCATCTTGCCGGACCTCGACTACAACTTCAAGGCGCGGGATCCTGATTCCCCTTTTTTTCTTTTACGGTGCATTTGCCTGCATGGATGTCTGTGTGAGGGTGTTGGCTTCCCTGAAACTGGAGTTGCAGACAGTTGTGAGCCGCCGTGTGGGTGCTGGGAATTGAACCTGGGTCCTCTGCTAGAGCAACCAGTGCTCTTAACCACTGAACCATCTCTCCAGCCCATGTCTGTGCTTTTGTTTTGGAGATAGGGTTTCTCTGTGTAGCCCTGGCTGTCCAGGAACTCACTTTGTAGACCAGGCTGGCCTCGAACTCACAGAGATCCGCCTGCCTCTGCCTCCCGAGGGCTGGGATTAAAGGCGTGCGCCACCACTGCCTGGCTTATTTCCTGTCTTTTAATTCTTTAATAGGCAGGGGAAATGAGCCCATTCCTGCACTCGTAGACAGTATCGGGGTAGATGCAGGACAATCAGGAGTCTTGGGCCATTCTTGACCACATAGTGAATTCCAGGCCATTCTGGAATACATGGGGATTTGTCTCAAAACAAGAACAAAGCCGGGCGTTGGTGGCGCATGCCTTTAATCCCAGCACTCGGGAGGCAGAGGCAGGCGGATCTCTGTGAGTTCGAGGCCGGGCTGATCTACAGAACGAGTTCCAGGACAACCTCCAAAACAATACAGAGAAACCCTGTCTCGAAAAACAAAACAAAACAAAACAAAAAAAGAAACAAGAGGATGGAGAGATGGCTCAGCGGTTAAGAGCACTGGCTGCTCTTGCAAAAGACACGGGTTCAGTTCCCAGCGTCCCAAAAGGACGCTCACAGCGATCAGTAACCCTAGTTACAGAGGATCTGTCGCCCACTCCTGGCCCCTGTTGGTACACACTTGGTGTACTTAACATTCATGAAGGCAAAACACGCCTAACATAAAAATAAAATCTTGGGGAAAAAAAAAAAAGAGTGGTGGTGGCGCAGGCCTTTAATCACAGCACTCGGGAGGCAGAGGCAGGCGGATCTCTGTGAGTTTGAGGCCAGCCTGGTCTACAGAGCGAGTTCAGCAGGGTTGCAATAAACCATGTCTCGAAAAACCAAAACCAAAAAGGAGAGACAGAGACAGAGAAACAAAGACAGACAGTCAAAGACAGAGTGATACAGAGAGATAGAGATGAGAGAGAGAGAGAGAGAGAGAGAGAGAGAGGGAGGGAGGGAGGGAGGGAGGGAGGGAGGGAGGGAGGGAGGTTAAGTGCAGGCTGTATACTGGATCTACTCATGACTGTATCCTTGGCAACCACACTAGTTGGACTCCTAACAAGTGCGCAGTCTGTTAAGTTACAAGCGAGAACCGGGGTGCTCCGTAGAGCCTTCAACGACCCAGTTTGCCCCAAGAGCAGGATTTCCTGTCAAATCTGGAGGAACCAAACACTCCGCTCACTTACTATAATAAAGCAGTCAGCCAGGCACGACGTGGGGTTTGCGCGTACACTACTGTTGCACAAACAGCACCCCCAGTCCCACCCCACCCCCAGCGCCCGAACGAAGGCCGTGAGAATCCTGGAGGGAAGGGAGTCAGCCCTCCCTGGCTGCGCTTGGGAGCCTGGGCCGGGGACAGACCAGCCAAGGTCCCAGGGCCGGCCGTGCTCGCACCTGTCTCACGACTTCCGGCTCCAGCCGGTCACAGGCTCAGAACTACAACTCCCACGAACCTTCGCGCCTACCCGTTTCCTCCCCTCCCTCTTTTTCCCACCAGGTCACGCCTCAAGGGTTTTCCGCTTCCCAAATCATTTCCTTGATGCAGCCACACCTCCCGCCTCTCTGCTTCTCGGAAACTACCATGCCCAGAAGTCGCTGGGCCACCCCAAGTCTTCCAGGCGGGTTGCCTTGGAGACAAAGAAATGCCAGGCCGGGATGGGGTGGGGTGGGGTGGGAGTTGGGGGATAAGGAGGAAATCTGCGCGCCTTGCGAAGGAAAGCAGGATTCCGATCGGTGTTCGCGTCCTCTTAGTTTTTTGTGTTTTTTTTTTTTTTCTATTTTCTTGCTTTTTTTCCTCCTCCGTTCTTTTTCTCCCCCCTGTGTGGAAGTTCTAATTTTTTTTCCATGCAATCCTCCCCATGGTATTATTCCCCCCGCCCCGGCCCTTGCCTTCTCCTCGCCCTCGGTAGGCAAAAGAGCACTTTTCGGGGGGGCGCACAAGCGCGTGGAGACGCGTGTCGTCTCCTCGTGCCTCGTCTTGGAACCCTTGGGTGCCGAAGCTTGGCTCGGCTGGGCAGTTGCAGGGGTGAGGCGGGAGAGAGGTTGGTGAGTCAGTCTGCACACGCAAAGCCCGTGAGGCCCGCTGCTGGGGTCCCCAGGGGTCTCCTGGGTGTTCGATCCCTGGTGCGGGGTCCTCCTGGCTGACTTACCCCGCACCCCACCCTCCCCTGAACTCCCCCAGCCCAGGAGTCGGGCTAGGCTTGTCTCCCCCTTAGCTAGCCACACCCCCTTATATAATTCAACCCAGGCTGCCCCGTCCCTTCCCTACTCTCTGTGCCCTGCCCCCTCTCCTCCCGTCCCCGGGAGCACGTCCTCTCGGGACCCTCCCAGTGTCCCCGCCTCTGACGCGCCCCCCTTTTACCCGCAGTAAATCTCCTCCTCCTCCTCCTCCACCAACCAAACCAGCCGCAAACCCACCGCCTGTGAAGCGGAAACCGCAGTGTCTGCCCCAGAGGACTGATGGCGTCTCAGGACGGGTGCCGCCGGCTCGCCCGGTGCCCACTCGGATGTCCCCCTCTGGGACGACGCTCGCCGCTGTCAGCTCTCGACTGAGCATCTCAACAGGAAAGTAAGTCACGTCCGAAAAGTTCCTGGAACCCCCGCCCGCCCAGATGCAGCCGTCCGAATCGGACCAAGTCAAACCGAATCAGAAAAAGCCCACGTTGAACGGATGCAAAACGCTCCCGCATGGCTTTCCATCCTCCGGGGGGGGGGGGGAGAAGGGAAAGGGGACCAGAAAACAAACAAACAAACACGAGGCTATTATCTGGGGTGGGAGGGACAGCTTAAATACCCCGTGGGAGTGGCCTTGAGCATCTCTGGGGGAGGGGGTCGTCATCACTTGGCGGGCTTTCCGAGAGGTGGCAGGTTTGGAGAGATGGGGAGGGGGTCCTGGGTGGAGCCACCACCGGAACAATGTCCATTCCTATTTATTTATTTATCTATTTATTTATTTCGTTCACCCACTGGGAAGTGAGTGCCACCTGTAGCAGCCCGCCCCCTTCCTATTTATTTATTTATCTATTTATTTATTTCGTTCACCCACTGGGAAGTGAGTGCCACCTGTAGCAGCCCGCCCCCTTCCTATTTATTTATTTATTTATCTATTTATTTCGTTCATCCACTGGGAAGTGAGTGCCACCTGTAGCAGCCCGCCCCCTTCCTATTTATTTATTTATCTATTTATTTATTTCGTTCATCCACTGGGAACTGAGTGCCACCTGTAGCAGCCCGCCCCCTTCCTATTTATTTATTTATCTATTTATTTATTTCGTTCATCCACTGGGAACTGAGTGCCACCTGTAGCAGCCCGCCCCCTTCCCACTCTCCAGGACCCTGGTGGCATCACCGTCCCTCCTGGGTAGGTGGAGAACCTTAGGAAGGGTTGTGAGACCCTTGAGCGTCTCACCTCGTCTTGGGGGGCTCCACAGCCTGTAACCCCTGCTCTGGAGATGCGGCCCCTTCACCCTTGGTCCCCCCTTCAGATAAAAGGTGTGTAGAACTCTTTAAGCGTTGTGCGCCCGTCCTCCTCCCCCCACCCAGTTTCTGGTTCGGGGGCCTCGGGCAAGGTGCGTGCGCTGGGGACCTCAGTCTTCCCATCTGCGACCCGAAACCGCAGTGTCTGGCCCTGGAGTGTTGTCGAGAGCACTGTGGGGTCTCAGGACGGGTGCTGCTGGCTCGCCCGGTGCCCACTCGGATGCCCCCTCTGGGACGACGCTCGCCGCTGTCAGTCTCCACTGCCGGCGGATCTGAACGAGCCGCGTCCACCCCTCCCGGGCCCTTGGCGTGTGCGCACGCAGGTTTGGAGGATTTGCGCGGCTGCCGCGCGCTTCCCCCTGTGCAGCAATGGCCGCGCTCCTGCTAAGGGATGCCTTGGGGTCTGGGGTCGAGCCTGTGCTCATCCTGGCGGTCTCCGTGTGGCTGGAGGCACTTCTTGCCCTTCGCCGACTTCGCTCAAGGATCGCCACCACCCACCGCTTCTCCCAGGTGAGACTCCCCCGGGCCTTGGAGTCATGAGGGCTGCTCAAGAAGCCTAGGACAGCTGGGCCGTGGTGGCGCACGCCTTTAATCCCAGCAGCACTCGGGAGGCAGAGGCAGGCGGATCTCTGAGTTCGAGGCCAGCCTGGTCTACAGAGCGAGTTCCAGAACGACCTCCAAAACAATACAGAGAAACCCTGTCTCGAAAAACAAACCAAGCAAACAAGCAAACAAAAAGCCAGGCCTTTCTTCCCCCTTTAAGTGGGATTTCTACTGAGATTGCTAACAAAAAGCCTCAGGTGTACCCCTAAGCAGTGGTGAATTGTGCGCGGATTCCCGCGCTCTGCCAAGGAGAGGCTTCATCCAGGCTCCAGGCCGGGACGCTCCCCTCCCCTCTCCCCGTCCATCATTTCCCCCCTCTCGGGGTCACTAGGTCTCCAGATGGGCGACCACGAAGGCCCTAACGCCCTTCCCTCCCCCAGGTTCTGCGCGTGGTCACCCGCAGTCCCTTTCCGAGGCGGGAGGCGAGCGGTGCAAGCTCGCGCGGGAGCTCCCCCACCCCCCGAACCCGAGGTGTGAGCCGCTGGGAGGAGAAGCACCCCGGGCATGGGCCGCCGGCTGCAGGGACCGAACCCCTGCAGCCGGGGAAGCGCGCGCGCGCGGTGCGAAAATCGGCGCGGGGGGCGGGCGGTGGGGTGGGGGTGGGTCTGGTTGCGCGTCGGGGGCGTGGCCTCGCGCAGTCTTCCCGGGCTCTGATTGTTTGGTGCGCGTCAGGGGCGTGGCCTCGCGCAGTCTTCCCGGGCTGTGATTGCGTGAGCGGGGCGGGGAGTGGGTCTGGCTGAGCGTCAGGGGGCGTGGCCTCGCGCAGTCTTCCCGGGCTCTGATTGCGTGAGCGGGGCGGGGGATCGGTCTGGTGCGCGTCAGGGGCGTGGCCTCGCGCAGTCTTCGCGGACTCTGATTGCGGGGCGGGGGGGTGGGTCTGGTGCGCGTCAGGGGCGTGGCCTCGCGCAGTCTTCCCGGTCTCTGATTGTCTGGTGCGCGTCAGGGGGCGTGGCCTCGCGCAGTCTTCCCGGGCTCCCGCAGCGCGTCGGGGGCGTGGCCTCGCGTTCCCGGGGAAGCCCGGGGGCGGGGCGCTGGAGGGGGCGGGGCCGCGGCCGTCTACGTGTTGCTGGCGGGGCAGCTGGAGGAGCGGCCCTGAGGGGACCCCGCGGGTCCCGGAGGCGAGTGCGCAGGCGCGGGGGCTCGCCCGCCCGCAGGTCTTTCTCGCAGCTGTGAGGCGGACGGTGCAGCGGGGAAGGCAGGTGAGGGGACCGGCGACTGCGTGTACGTGTGTGCGCGTGAGTGTGTGTGTGCGTGAGTGTGTGTGCATGTGTGTGAGCGCGAGTGTGAGCGTGTGTGTGAGTGTGCGCGTGAGTGTGCGTGGGGCGAGCACGCTTGAACCCCTCTCCTGACCCGAGGCGACTCCGTGCAGGTTTGGCGGGCCTGGCTGGGGGTGTGGACCCGGTGTGAGGATCCCTCAGGTGTCCCCACGTGTGTGTGTGTGGAGGGTGGGGGAGGGAGAGAGATGCGACCCCTGACTAGGCCTGTGAGCCTCCAGAAACAGGTGAGAGAGACAGACAGACAGACAGACAGACTAGGCCTGTGAGCCTCCAGAAACAGGTGAGAGAGACAGACAGACAGACAGACAGACAGACTAGGCCGTGGGCCTCCAGAAACAGGTGAGAGACAGACAGACAGACAGACAGACAGACAGACTAGGCCGTGGGCCTCCAGAAACAGGTGAGAGAGACAGACAGACAGACAGACAGACTAGGCCTGTGAGCCTCCAGAAACAGGAGAGAGAGACAGACAGACAGACAGACAGACAGACAGACTAGGCCGTGGGCCTCCAGAAACAGGTGAGAGACAGACAGACAGACAGACAGACAGACAGACAGACAGACTAGGCCGTGGGCCTCCAGAAACAGGTGAGAGAGACAGACAGACAGACAGACAGACTAGGCCTGTGAGCCTCCAGAAACAGGTGAGAGAGACAGACAGACAGAAAACAGGTGAGAGAGACAGACAGACAGACAGACAGACTAGGCCGTGGGCCTCCAGAAACAGGTGAGAGAGACAGACAGACAGACTAGGCCGTGGGCCTCCAGAAACAGGTGACAGACAGACAGACAGACTAGGCCTGTGAGCCTCCAGAAACAGGTGACAGACAGACAGACTAGGCCCGTGAGCCTCCAGAAACAGGTGAGAGAGGCCTCCAGAATCAGGTAAGAGAAAGAGACAGACAGACAGACAGACAGACAGACAGACGAGGCCGTGGGCCTCCAGAATCAGGCCCGTGTGGCAGCTGTGGCGTGTGGACACATGTGGGGTCTGAGGTCTCAGCTGCGCCCGTGAGTTTGGGGGACAGACTGTTTGTCACAGTCGGGGGGCTGCTGCGGGTGTCAGCCGCCTTGTGGGAAAGGGGAGCCGCAGCTGGTTGGAGGGGCCTGCAAGTGGGGGGCACACAGGCCTGGTGTCTCTGTCGTTGCTAGAGAGAGAGAGGGAGAGACGAGAGACGGGGGAGGGAGGGAGAGAGAGAGAGAGACGGAGGGAGAGAGACTGAGAGAGAGAGAGAGAGAGAGAGACTGGGGGGGACAGAGAGGGGGGAGACAGAGACAAAGACAGAGACACTGAGAGAGGGAGGGAGGGAGGGAGGGAGGGAGAGAGGGAGGGAGGGAGGGAGGGAGGGAGACTGTGCCACCAGATTTCAGTGCGTGGCTTTGTTGAGTGCGCCAGGGTGTGAGGACTGATTGCGCCTTATCTCACCTGTTACTATGGCAACGGGCTCCTGTACAGCAGGAGATGCTGCGATGGCCACTCTGGAAAACTGAACCTGTTAAGGACGAGGCCTTCCCTTCTGCACAGCGGGATGGATGACGGCCTCCAGGGGACACGCGCACACACACTCGCACACTCACACAGACACACTCACACGCACAGAGACATACACTCTCACACACACGCATGCCACACACAGACACCACACACACAGACACACTCACACGCACAGAGACACACACTCTCACACACACGCACGCCACACACAGACACCACACACAGACACACTCACACGCACACACGCACAGAGACACACACTCTCACACTCTCACACACACGCACGCCACACACAGACACCACACACAGACACACTCACACGCACACTCACACACTCACACACAGGCACACATTCTCACACACACACTCACACACACTCACGCACGCACGCGCACGGCTAACGGGACCCACTGAGCGCCGTGTGGGGTCCGGCCTTGGTTGCAGTCTGAGAGTGGGGTTTTGTGCTCTGCTGTTGACCTGTGTGCAGGTAGGGCCGGAGTGACGAATCCCCAAAGAATGCGTTGTCTGCTTTTGGAATTTGGCTGTCTTCCAGATGCTCTGCTCTCTCTGAGTTGAGCGGTGGTGCGTCCCCCACCCCTCCTACCCCCCCAGGCAAGCGGCCGCCGTCCTGGCGTCTGCCTGAGAATGCTTGGACCTGTGGAACCTGTTGTGTGTCTCCCTGACCAGGGGATCTTGAGGAGATAAGCGGAGGTGGTGGGGGCAGGCACCGTGTGGTGGATGTCGCGGGACCCCTTTGGAGTGACCTTGTTGAATCGCCTCGGCCATCATCAACAGACCATTGCATCCCAGCCCATGGTTTTTTTTTTTTTTTTTTTTTTTTTTAGCATTGCTCACTGACAGAAGCAGCAGCCCGCTTATTAGGTCTATAACCTCGCAGGGGAGAATAGAAGGTTATGTTGCTGCTGTAGCAAGTTGCCCCAGATGTAATGGTTTCAGAGCGTCATGTGTAGTCAGTGTTTACTAATCTTTTAAGTAATTAATCCAACCAGCAATTATTACGATTACTTCTTAAATTCCCAGCCCCAGCGTATGCTTTTTGTTAGGCAGCTTCTCTGGGTGTGGTAGCTCTGGGAGCAGGCCAGCGAACGGAACGGTCAGGGTCCTTGCTCTTGAGCCTAAGTCGCCATGTGCCACGCGGGCTTGTTTTCCTTGCGTGAACGACGGTACACGGCAACAGGTTCCTTCTCGCTTGGACTCTGGTTGCGGTGCCTGGCACCGGCAGTCACCGGGCAGATGGAGGGCTGGGTGGGTGTCTGCACATTTCTTCATTTGTGGTCTGATCGGGAGCCCGCTGTGATTATAGGGGCTGGGTGTTGTAGGATTCCCTCCTTGCTTCTTCCCAACCCCAAGCGTGGGACAGACGGAGGGACACATACTCACACACACACACACACACACACACACACACACACACACACACACTGGATGGATGGACGGACGGACGGACGGACGGACGGACTTGTTCCAAGTGCCTGGGCCTTTGGAGAGGTGATTGGAGACCAGGGACTTTGGGACCACTCCAAAGCATCGAGCTTCATGATTTTTCTTTTCCACCAGCAGTCCGCCTCAGCCTCTGAATGTGAACCATCAAAGTCAGGGGGAAATGATGCCTGTAGCACGAGGGAAATCAAAATCCAAGGTAAGTGGTGACCCCCCCTCCCCAAATATTCCATTCTGTCTTAATAAGACGTGGCCCGTTTGTTTTCTTTCTGGAGACTCCCTGCCTCCAGGAGACAGATGTGACACCGGGTGGTCCTCCCATTGCTATGGAGATGGGACCTGAGAAGTAGCCAGTACCCGGAAAGCTGCTGTGGGTCCCATTTCCGTTCCTCTCAGTGTTCACGGGACCACTCGCGGTCCACTCAGCATCTGTAGAGGCTCTGCTGGACTCAGAAGTGCCCTCCCCAGGAAGACTATGAGAGCTCTGTAGTTTCCTTGGCTGGGGATGAGTACCCAGGGGGCCCACTCAGCCAAAGGGGTTAGGTGTGTATGTGTCAGATTAACCCAGTTGTGTCACTTTGATTTTCTTTGTAAAACCAGTGCTCACATGGAAGACGTCTGCCTGGTTAAGGTACGAGAATGGGGAGTATAATTTAGAAACGGAAGAGAGGGGTACACAAGCCTTATGACTCACCTGCCTCACCACTGGAGATGACGGGATGAGTGTCGCATCAGCTCCAGGGCAATTTCTCATAATTTCCAGCCAGCCAGTGGTGGTGCACACCTTTAATCCCAGCACTGGGGAGGCAGAGGCAGGCGGATCTCTGTGAGTTCGAGGCCAGCCTGGTCTACAGAGTGAGCTCCAGGACAGCCAGGGATACAGAGAGAAACCCTGTCTTGAAAAACCAAAACCAAACAAACAAAAAAACCCCACATTTTCTCAATCTGGGGATGTTGCTCAGTTGGTAGGTTGCTTGCTAGGATGCATAAACCTTGAGTTGGACCCCCCCTGCACCCCCATAAACAGAGTGTGGTGGAACAAGCCTCTAACCTTATTACTCAGGAGATAGAAACAGGAACCTGGAGAGTTTAAGGTCATCTTTGGCTACATAGTGAGTCCGGGCTAGCCTTGGCTGCTTGAGGCCCTGTGTCAAAGTAACAAAACACATTTCCCTCAGTTACGTGTGTTTGTTCTCTCTTGCTTCCCCAATAGCTTTACGTCAGCATACATTCCCTGTCGCTTCTGATTTGGTCGGGATTCAGACACCACACAGTTCAGCTGTGTCTCCTGCTTGGGTTTCCCAGGGCCCAAATCAAATGGTTGACGAACTTTATTTTCATTAAGGGGCTTAGGTTGTTTTCCAGGTGTGTTTGTTATTAACAAAATTCCGTTCAGTTTTACATTTTCCACATTTTTACACCATCCCCCCCCCCATTTTCATGGGAGCAGTAGTCAGGCAACCCAGAGGAAGACCTAGGTACTCTATATAAGTGTCCCTGGTGCTGAGGGGATGGCAGCAAAGTGCTTGCCGTTCAATCAGGAGGACCTGAGCTAGGGCCCGTACGTAAAAAGCCACGCAGATGCCGGCCAGCAGGACGGCTCAGCAGGTAAAGGCCTGTGAGGTTGATCCCCAGGACCCGCACTGTGGAAGGAGAGACCCAGCTTGTCCTCCATGTCGTCCTCTGACCACCACCCGTGCATCAAGCCACACACTCTACCACCCCACTTACATGCTTAAGTAATGTAGAAAAACACACAAAGACTGGACTCGGCAGCGTGTGTCTATAACCCCACCTCTGGGGAGGGAGAGAAAGGCGGCTCACTGTGAGCTCCAGTGAGAGCCCTGTCTTAAGAAACGAAGGTGGGGGCTGAAAGATGACTCAGAGGTTTAGAGCACCGGCATGCTCTTCCAGAGGTCCTGAGTTCAATTCCCAGCAACCACCTCTGTAATGAGATCTGGCGCCCTCTCCTGGCCTGTAGGCATGCTGAATGCTGTATACATAATAAATAAATCTTAAAACAAAAACAAAGGTGGAGAACGGGTGAGGGAGCTAACTCATTGTCCATCTCTTATCCCGACACACATGTACAACATCTCCCTGTTGTTGTGGTGAAGCAGTGATAAACCGATTAAAGAATTTTTTGTTGTTTTGAAGAAGCCACACTGATTGAATCCCAGCTCCTTGAGTTAGTAATTGTGTGAACTACAATAACTTACCTCATCTCTCAGGACTTAGTTTCCTCATTTGTAGTGTTACTATGATCCTCTTGGCAATGCGTCATGACTACTAAGGGTGAATACTGAATTTTTAAAAAATGCCTTGATTATAAAAACCAGGAAGACTAAATTGCTTTTTTTTTTTTTTTTTTTTTTTTTTGGTTTTTCGAGACAGGGTTTCTCTGTATTGTTTTGGAGGCTGTCCTGGAACTCGAGGAGATCTGCCTGCCTATGCCTCCTAAGTGCTGGGATTAAAGGCATGCGCCACCAACGCCCGGCAAATTGCTCTATTTTTTAATGTAGCGTAATCTTTTTTTTTTTTAAAGATCTTGTATTTATTATGAATACAACATTCTGCCTATGTGTCTGTCTGCAGGCCAGAAGAGGGCATCAGATCTCATTACGGATGGTTGTAAGCCGTTATGTGGTCTCTGGGGATCGAACTCAGGACCTCTGGGAGAGCAGCTAGTGTTCTTAACCACTGAGCCATCTCTCTAGCCCCCAATGAAGCATGATCTTTAATAGCAGATTTGTTACGTTACACTATATGCTATTAGTTTATTTAATATCTCTGCTGTTTTTGGTCCCGGCACTCCCGCCATGACACATCTCACATGTTTGCCATTCTCTCTACCATGCAGAAGTAACTTTTGAAGCTCACGGCTGAATGAACTTGTAACTTTATTCATTTCAGGCACCAGTGACTTTTGGGGACTTAGTCATCTACTTCTCACAGGAGGAATGGGAATGGCTGAGTCCCATTCAGAAGGATTTGTACGAAGAGGTCATGCTGGAGAACTATCACACTCTGGTCTCGCTTGGTAAGGTGTCATGCTCCCCTCTCTGACCTCATCAGAAATCCACGAGCAGCCTGTGAAGGCATGTGTCAGTCAGGGTCTGTTCAGGAGAATGGAAGCCATTTCGTGTGTGTGTGTTTGTGTGTGTGTCCATGTCCACTTCTAAATTACACAGTTGTTTTTTATTGTCAGTGACCATGGTCAGTTTTAGGACATTGTCATTACCCTCCGAAGAAGCCCTGTAGTCAAGAGCAATTCATTCATTTCCCACACCTGTGTATCTATCCCCTGAGACTGGGAAATCCCTAGCCCTCATCATGCCTCTTTGGATTTGCTAATCTGAGCCTTGTGTGCTAAAGGAATGATAAACACATGGCCTTTTCTCTCTTGGTATACTGTTTTGAGGTTCACCCCTACTACAACACATTAGCAATACTTCGTTCGATTAATTACATTGTCTGGCTAGACATCTTCATCTCCTTTATGTTTCCTTAACTGGTGGGTAGTTAGGTTGTTTTACTCTTTATTCTTTTTTTTTTTTTTTTTTTTTTTTTGGTTTTTTTTTTTTTTTTACAAGACAGGGTTTCTCTGTTTTGGAGGCTGTTGGTCTAGCCTGGCCTCGAACTCACAGAGATCCGCCTGCCTCTGCCTCCCGAGTGCTGGGATTAAAGGCGTGCGCCACCAACGCCCAGCTACTCTTTATTCTTAATGAATTGCCACTGTGAGCAGTCATGAACCTATTTTTTGTTGTTGTTGGTGGTGGTGTTTGTTTGTTTTTCAAGACAGTGTTTCTTTGTATAACAGTCCTGGCTATACTGGAACTCACCCTCTTGATGAGGCTGGCCTCGAACTCACATAGATCCGCCTGCCTCTGCCTCCCAAGTGCTGGGATTAAAGGTGTGGGCCACTACTGCCTAGCTTCATGGACAGGTTTTGGGGCATATGTTTTTATTTCTTTTGGTTATTTGTTTTATAAATGGAATTGTGGGTCACTTGTAAACTGTACTTTTTTTGTTTGTTTTTGCTTTTTCGAGACAGGGTTTCTCTGTATTGCTTTGGAGCCTGTCCTGGAGCTCGCTCTGAGACCAGGCTGGCTTCGAACTCACAGAGATCCACCTGCCTCTGCCTCCCAAGTGCTGGGATTAAAGGGGTGCGCCACCACCACCACCTGGCTTGTAAGCTGTACTTATTTTATAATTTAAATATTTTATGTGTATGAGTGTTTTTCCTGCGTGTATATTTTTGCACTGTGTGCATGCCTGATACCCATGGAGGCCAGAAGAAGGTGTTGGATCTCCTAGGCAGTTGTGAGTTGTGGGTTCTGGGAACCACACCCAGGTCTTCTGCAGAAACAGCTGTTGCTCTTAACCTCTGAGCCATCTCTTCAGCCCCCTGTACTGACTTTTTTCATTGTTGTTTTGTAAGAATTTACTATAAAGAGTTGCTGTACAGGTGTTAAAAGGTGAACATGGACACTCATTTACCAAGGCTGCAGCTTCCAGCTCCGAGGCTGGGGGTAGAAAGAGAAGAGTTTGAAGGTTTTTTTTTTTTTTTTTAGGACTAAGAGGCAGAGCCTCGAACAGCTAGAATTCATATTTCTGAAAGAGAAAGGGTGTGCTTGTTTATACAAGACTAGTCCTACGAATAAGGGGATTAAAAGAAAACTGGGAAATTGAAATAGAGCCCTATCTTAGTTAGAGTTGCCATGAAGAAACACCATGGCCACAACACCTCTTATAAAGGAAAACATTTGATCGGGGGCTGGCTTACAGTTTCAGAGGTTCAGTCCATTATTGTCGTGGCGGACCATGGCAGTGTGGAGGCAGACATAGTGCTGGAGAGGGAGCTCAGAGTTCTACATCTGGATCTGCAGGCAGCAGGAAGAGAGAGTGAGCCACTATTTTGGTTTGAGTTTCTGAAACCTCAAAGCATACCCCCCAATGAGACACTTCCTCCAGCAAGACCATACCTCCTAACAGTGCCACCCCTTGTGGGTCTATGGGGCCATTTTGGTTGGTTGTTTTTTGTTTTGTTTTTCAGGACAGGGTTTCTCTGTGGCTTTGGAGGCTGTCCTGTAACTCGGTCTGTAGACCAGGCTGGCCTCGAACTCACAGAGATCTGCATGCCTCTGCCTCCCGAGTGCTGGGACTAAAGGCATGCACCACCAATGCCTGGCTATTGGGGCCATTTTTATCCAAATCACCACAAACTCTGGCAAAGCTGGCAAAGGGGGCATTTAGATTGTAGAGCTTAAGGCCATGTAAAGTCAGATACTTTCACTTTAAAATCCTTAATGGGGGGAGGGCTGGAGAGGTGGCTCGGTGGTTAAGGACACTGACTGCTCTTCCAGATGATCTGGGTTCAATTCCCAGCACCCACATGTCAGCTCACAACTGTCTGTAATTCCAGTTCCAGGGGACCTGACACCCATGGAAAAAAATCTCAATGCATATAAAATTAAATAATTTTTAAAAATCCTTAATGGGTCCAAGTTGCTGTTTGTTTGGCTTTGTGTGTGTGTGTGTGTGTGTGTGTGTCAATTAGTTATTTTAATGTATAGAAGTGATTGTATGGTCTATAACTATACATTGCTTGCTTCTTATTTAATACACATACATTTTGACCTCAGAGCCTTGAATGGAGGCACAACATAGCAACAGGTCACAGAATGCTGGCAATTTAGAGCTGAAGGATGATAGTTTAAGACTTTGTTCCTAGAGCATTTGACCCTATGGTCAAAAAAAATAGTTTATTCTATAGTTAGTGTCCTAGTCAGGGTGTCTTTTGCTGTAAGGAGACAGCATGACCTTGACAACTCTTAGGGAAACATTTATTTGGGGCTGGCTTATCGTTCAGAGGTTCACTCCTTTGTCGTCACGGCAGGGAGCGTGGCAGCATTACGACAGACGTGGTGCTGGAGAGGGAGCTGAGAGTTCTACAGCTGGAGCAGGAAGAAAGTGTTACTGGGCCTGACTTGAGCGTACAAAACCTCACAGCCCCACCCACCCCCAATAACACACTTCCTCCAACAAGACCACACCTCCTAATAGTGCCACTTCCTGTGAGCCTACAGGGGCTATTTTCATTCAAACCACCACAGTTAGTTTAAGCAGCACTACTGTATGAAACTTAGTTTTCATCTTCTCTGTATGAAAATTTTAAACCAACGCTCACATCCAACCATTCAGCACAGAATAGTCTGACCTCAGAAGGGCGAAGGTTTTCCCAACAGCAAACAATTCTTACTTGAGTATTGGACAGACGTTGTAATTCTGACACTACTTACCTGGGTCAGCATCAGATCCAAAGATTAAGAGCTCAGTGTCACAAGACTATCTCTACCTCAGATAACCATGTACAAGTCTAGGCCTCTGGAGTTTCCAACTAACTGTAGGTTGGGGGGGGTCTCACAACCTGCCCCCTTCCAGGTTTGATAGAACTGAGATATGTACTTAAATTTAAAGACACCACAGATGCTGTAGGTGAAAAGGCGAATCGGGAGCTATTCAGGGAAGAGGGCAGAGTGGCTATGCCCTCCCTGGGAATGCTTCTCTCCACACGCTGTGTTCAGCAGCCTCAGTGCCTTTAGACTCCTCCTTTGGGGTTCTAAAGGCTTCATTATGTTGGTCTGACTGATCAGTCTCCAGTCTCTCACTCGCCCCATTGTGAAGTTAGGGGATGGGATGGAGGTCCAAGCTCTAACCACTGTTGGTTTGTTGATTTCTCTGACCAATCCCGAGGAGCCCCTGTGCACTTGCTGTCTCTTTAGCGTAGGGGAGACACCACGTCTTAGAAATCACCACCGTCCAGCCTTATCTCTACCTCACCGCATTCTTCAGCCGCCCCACACATTCCGTGTATTTCTATTGTGATGCCAAGCCTTACGTTTTCATTGACCCAGGGCGTGGCTCTCATGTCAGTGGTGCTCACCTAATGGTCGGTTCTCTTGTCTGTTCCACGTCCAGGTCTTGTCAGTCGGAGACCAAATATCATCACCTTGTTGGAGAAAGGGAAAGCACCATGGATGGTGGAGCCATCGAGACGGCGCCGGGGCCCTGGTGAGTGACTGAGAACCAAGGCCTAAGTCATATCATTCAGTTTGCAAAAAGATGCCAAAGCAATACATACACTGGCCTGTCTACAAACAACAGAAATATATTTTACAAAGCCTTAAGAGTTGGTAATTCTAAAAGGAAGACTAGCTGATATAGTATCTGGTGACAAACTACTTCCTGGTTCATAGATGTTACCTTTTTTTTTTTCCCAAGACAGAGTTTCTCTGTGTAGCCTTGAGTGACCCGGCACTTACATTGTAGACCAGGCTGGTCTGGAACTCACAGAGATCTACCTACCTCAGCCTCCCGAATGCTAGGATTAAAGGCGTGTGTCTCTTTACTTCTTTTCTCTTCCCTTCCCCCTTTCTCTCTGTTCCTGGTTGCCCAACACCTACCCCTCCCTTGGCTCCTTTTCCCAGTGAACTCCATGTGGGTTTGTTGAGTTTTGTGGTTTGTGTTTCATCACTGTTAGAACAAGTGCCTGTCCCTTAAAGGCAGTGGTCACTCTTAAAAGGGCAGTGCCTACCACCTGAAGAAAATCAGCCCCAGTCTGAACCCCTCTCTGGGGCAGAGAGTTAAGGAGCCGTTCCGTGCTGTGGTCTTTACAGCTCCTAAAGTGTGCTCTTACCCAGTACCAGGCTCTTCCATGCTTTTGGTCAGATACCTGGTGTAAATCGTGTGATGTAAAACTTTCTGCTACTCCTGGAAATGTTATAAAAGTCAGGTATTTCCTGTGTTTGAAGGAGTTCTCCAAGGCATGCTCTGGGGACTTCTCTGGAGAGTTCCCTATGGCTTCCTCCCAGCTATGCATCTCATGGCTCGTGTCTCAGAGGCTCTCATTGTGTGAGTGCTCTCCCTCCTCCTTTATCCCTCCTCCCATCTTCTTTCTCTGTCTCTCTCTCTCTCACTTTAGAAGAAGCTCCTCTCCAGGTTCAGCCTGTTTGCCGCACCTCCTGCACAGCCTGTATCCGAGAATGTAGCGAGGTGGTCGGGATAGATGACACACAGACCAGTCGGTTGCGTTAAGAAAACTTTATGCTCCCCCAAATCAGCTTAGGAGAACTTCCCAAGAAAAACGCTTCTCTTCAGAAAAAGCTTCTGCCATCCATACACGCACAAATCTCCAACAGCCCCCTCACACACCTCTCACAGACCTCTTCTCCCTCCTGGCTGGTGGTTAAATCTCCGGCACCAGAATCTGGAACAGCGGGGAGTAGCTAGCCATCGGGAAGATCAAAGTCATGGTGCTTCAGTGACCGAGTCCCCTCAGCCCTTATCAGGAGCTTATGGCACTGAATTGTTTTCAGTAAACATTGTCTCGAAGCTGCCTGCTCCCAGGCTGATCGAGGAGTGGGTTTCCGGCCAGGGTCTGTGATCCCCACACCTGTTCTTCCCTTTAAGACCTCAAAAGATGTTTGGTCCTCAAATACATTGAACCAGTTGTTATCCCACACTCTTCATGCCTCCTGATGGTGTTCCTGAGACCCTTCCTCCTGATAAAGCTCGCTTCCTAATGGGCAACCATTGGCTTCCTTTCCTGAGGCAACCGTGCGTCGCCTCTCTGTAGACAGCAATCACGTAGGCGCCTCCTCTTGCAGATGTTACTTGAAAGCTCGCCACCACACGTGGCAAAGCCCCAGGCCTGCGCAGAGAGCTCGGTTGTAAGTCTTTAGGGAGAGAATAACAAATGTTCACTTAGTCTCTACTTGGCATCAGATATGCTTTGAGGTCCGGGTTCCTCCCAGCAGTGCTGTAGTAGATGGAATTAGTGCCGTTGCATCATGGCACTGCCGCCCAGAGAGGTCGGAGGGGCCCAGTGGCTTGACAGACCCTGAATCGGAACTTAGTATGCTTTTGTATCCAGAATCTTCTTCCTTTTACAGTAATACAGTATTTTTCAACCTTCCTAAAGCTGCGACCCTTAATACAGTTCCTCATGTTGGGGTGACCCCCCAACCATGCAATAATTTTCATTGCTACTGTGATGAAATAGGATATCTAGCATGTGACCCCTGTGTATGAGTGATTTGACCTCCAAAGGGGCTTGCAGTGACAGATTAGCCCTGCCTAAGTCTAACCAGCAAAGGAGATTTAGCAAATGAGCGCCATCTGCAGAAACACAGTGTAACGGCAGTCCAGGGTTCATTTTCACTAGAGTTAGATGTCACTCTTCTCCCCCCTAAACCCCACCCCAAGGGCTTGGAGATAGCCATCGCGTAGTCATTTTCCTACGGTTGAAGGTATTGACTTCTGGGTTGTAAATTTCTCTTGTTGTGTGTAGACATTCATCTGTAGTCTAGACTTTGGAATATGTTCCCCATTGTTTTAGTTTAAAATGTTTTTTTGTACCCTTTTTAAAATATATTTAAATTAGAAACAAGCTTGCTTCTCATGTCAGTCCCAGTTCCCTCTCCTTCCCTTCCACACCCACTCCCCCCACCAGCCCCCTACCCAATCCCCACTCCATTCCCCAGGGAGGGTAAGGCCCTCCGAAGGGGATCTCTAGAGTCTGTCATTTCGTTCCAGGGAGGGCCCAGGCCCTCCCCAAAGTGTCCAGATTGAGAGAGCATCCCTCAATGTGGGATGGGTCCCCAAAGCCCATTTGTATGCCAGGGATAGATACTGATCTACTACCCAAGGCCCCAAAGATTGCTTAGATCTCCTCACTGACACCCAAGTACAGGGGGTCTGGATCAGTCCCATGCTGGCCTCTCAGCCATCAGTCTGGGGTCCAAGAGCTCCCCCTTGTCAGGTCATCTGTTTCTCTGGTTTCTCCAGCCCAGTCTTGACCCCTTTGCTCATCACTCCTCCCTCTCTGTCACTGGGTTCTAGGAGTTCAGTTTCGTGTTTAGCTGTGGGTGTCTGCCTCTGTCTCCATCAGTCCTTGGATGGAGGTTCTAGGATAAGAAGTAAGCAGTTGTCAAAATCATTATTAGGGAAGGGTATTTAAAGTAGTCTCTTCACTACTGCTTAGTTTGTCAGTTGGTGTCATCTTTGCAGATCTCTGGAGATCTCACTAGTGCCAGATCTCTGCTCAAACCTAGAATGACTGCCTCTATTATGTTATCTCCTATTCTACTCTCCTCTATTCTTCCCCCAACACAACCTTCCTGCTCCCCCATGACCTCCTCTCCCTTCCTCTTCTCTCCCTCTCTTTTTCCTGGCTCCCTTTCCCTTCCCCCACCCTGTGCTCCCAATCTGCTCAGGAGATCTTGTCTCATTCCCCTTCTCTGGGATACCATGTATATCTCTCTCTTAGGGACCTTCCTGTTTCCCTGACTCTCTGACAGTGGGATTGTGTGCTGGCACTCCCCTGATTCATGTCAAAAATCCATATATGAGTGAGTACATACCATTTTTGTCTTTTTGTGACTGGGTTACCTCACTCAGGATGGTTTCTTCTAGTACCATCCATTTGCCTGCAAATTTCAAGATTCCATTGTTTTTTTCTGCTGAATAGTATTCCATTGTGTAAATGTACTACATTTTCTCTATCCACTCTTCAGTTGAGGGGCATCTAGGTTGCTTCCAGATTCTGGCTATTACAAATAATGCTGCTATGAACATAGTGGAACAGAAGTCCTTGTATGAATGTGCATCTTTTGGGTATATGGCTAAGAGTGGAATTGCTGGGTCTTGTGGTAGACTGATTCCCATTTTCCTGAGGAATCTCCATACTGATTTCCAAAGTGGCTGTATGAGTCGGCACTCCCACCAGCAGTGGAGGAGTGTTCCTCTCTCTCCACATTCTCTCCAGCATAAATTGTCATTGGAGTTTTTGATTTTAGCCATTCTGACAAGAGTAAGATGGTATCTCAGAGTTGTTTTGATTTGCATTTCCCTGATTGCTAGGGATGTTGAGCACTTTACGTGTCTCTCAGCCATTTTAGCCTCCTCTATTGAGAATTCTCTATTTAATTCTGTAGACCACTTTTTAATTGGATCCTTTGGTGCTTTGGAGACTTGTTTCTTGAGTTCTTTGTAAATTTTGGAGATCAGCCCTCTGTCAGATGTGGGGTTAGTGAATATTTTTTCCCATTCTGTGGACTGCCTTTTGTCTTGTTGACTGTGTCCTTTGCCTTACAGAAGCTTCTCAGCTTCAGCAGGAATTATCGATCTCAGTGTCTGTGCTTCTGGTATTGTGTTCAGGAAACCGTCTCCTGTACCAATTTATTCAAGGGTACCTCCCAGGGTCTCTTCTAACAAGTTCAGTGTGGCTGGATTTATGTTGAGGTCTTTGATCCATTTGGATTTAAGTTTTGTGCATGGCGATAAACATGGATCAATCCGCATTTTTCTACATGCCAGTCTCCAATTATGCCAGCACCATTTGTTGAAGATGCTTTCTTTTTTCCATTGTATATTTTTAGCTTCTTTATCAAAGAGCAGATGTTCATACATGTGTGGGTTAATATCAGGATTTTCTATTCTATTCCATTGGTCTACCTATTTTTGTGCCAATACCAAGCTGTTTTCAGGACTATAGCTCTATAATAGAGCTTGAATTCAAGAATGGTGATGCCTCTGGACATTGCCTTGTTGAATAGGGCTGTTTTGGCTATCCTGGGTCTTTTGTTTTTCCATATAAAGTTGAGAATTGTTCTTTCAAGGTCTGTGAAGAATTGTGCTGGGATGTCAATGGAGATAGCATTGAATCTGTAGATTGCTTTTGGCAAGATTGCCATTTTTACTATGTTGATCCTACCTATCCAAGAGCATGGGAGATTTCTCTATTTTCTGGTGTCTTCTTTAGTTTCTTTTTTAAAGACTCAAAGTTCTTGTGATACAGGTCCTTCACTTGTTTGGTTAGGGTTATCCCAAGGTATTTTATGTTGTTTGTGGTAATCATAAAGGGTGATATTTCTCTGATTTCTTGCTCAGCCCTTTTATCATTTGTACATAGTAGGGATACTAATTTTCTTGAGTTGATCTTGTATCCTGCCACTTTGCTGAAGGTATTTATCAGCTGTAGGAGTTCCCTGGTAGAGATTTTCGGGTCACTTATGTAAACTATCATATCATCTGCAAATAGTGAAAGTTTGACCTCTTCCTTTCCAATTTGTATCCCCTTGATCTCCTTTTGTTGTCTTATTGCTCTTGCTAGAACTTCAAGTACAATATTGAAGAGGTATGGGGAGAGTGAGCAGCCTTGTCTTGTTTCTGATTTTAGTGGAATCGCATGTGAGTTTGATGCTGGCTTTTGGTTTGCTGTATATAGCTTTTATTATGTTTAGGTGAGTTCCTGTTATCCCTGATCTCTCCAAGACCTTTATCATGAAGGGGTGTTGGATTTTGTCAAAGGCTTTTTAAGCATCTAGTGAGATGATCATGTGATTTT